GGACGGCGACGTTCCGGCACAGGGCTCAGCTTGAAACCTGTTGGCCAGCAGTGTGTTGAAGTTCAGTAACCCGACGAACCCAGGACACTCGCAGGAAGCACACACGCGAGTACGATCTGCTCCACGAACCGAGCAAGATAAGTGGATTCGTTACAGCAGCGTTGTCTTCAGTTGTAGTACAGTATAATCGACGTTGATCCAAACCAAGGTATGGCTTGTGCATGTCGACGATCGAATGCTCTCTCCTCAATATACTGCCTCCTGGGATCTCGCTGGCGGCTACGATCGTGTTACATTGCCATGGAATTCCACCAAGGAAGGTATAAATAGTCGTGACCTCGCAATTATCTAGAACTAGTAACAGTGGATTGCGATACTGGCAATTGGTGAGGAAATTGCCTTGTATATTAGTTTTATTTTTAATTTCGAGCCAAGCGTGGTATGCATTGAGACGATACAGCAATGCGGTCGTTTTCTGGTTTCGCCTAAGGCGTAGTCCTTATACGATGCTGGAATTTGTGCTTTCTATTTTTTTCTTCCCACAACATATTCGCGAGATTTAAGACAGAGACCAAAATATGATTTCTTCCGATCAACGCACCCTTCTTGCTCTGGATCATAACTTATTGCTGTGGTGCCATTGTCTCGCGCGGAGCTTTGTGGTATTTTTTTTTTTCGTGTTGAACAACCTCTCAGGTGTTCCTAGCTTCGGTCAACGGCATATTACCATCAATGTATTTATCTCCCCTGCTAGACTCTGAGGGCCTAAGCACAAGTTCTCCGCAATTCGGTACCACACTATTCTGGCTGGAATAGCGCGTAAACGGTCTACTGACCTGCGATTGTTGTGGAGCAGAAACATTGAATTGTAAAAACATCACACAGTAGTTTGTGCAATGTTGTTTCGATGTGCTTGACAGAAATCCTATGATCTGATTGGTCAGTGGGAAGCGGGTGGGGTCGTTACTATCGCAGTTCAGGTGCGATGAACTACTATTGCTGCCAGGTGTCGAAAGGTAGAGCAAAGGGGTAAGTGGTGCTGGATTTATACTAACGGGAACTGAACCAGGATCAGAATTTGCTCGAGGATGCTACGGATGCCAAGGGTGGCGTGTTAAGAACGTTCAAAGCTGGCTGTAGATGGGAGTTTGACGTTTGAAGTTGAACTGCGCGCTGCAGTTGCTGTGCTGCGATTCGTCTTCATACACGCTGCCAAGTATGGTTTTGAGTACTCAAATCTCGGTAGTTGACCATGCAATAGTATTCTCCTGAGGTCATTGCACAACGCTTCGAGGGCCTTTGCGCTTGCATCCACAAATAGCAACGCACTCAACACTCTCAGGTATCGTTTCACCTTCTTCCTTGCTATCGAGATTCGTGTATTATCCGTAATGTAGCGAGCGAACGAACGGAACCAGCAGATAATTATTATTCTGATGAACGAAGACATTCAAGACGCAAGCCTCGACGTCTGTGCAAGATCACAGAGATCAACGGACGAATCTAAAAGAGGCTTATACAAAACTGCCGGGTATAGGCCAGATGCTGAGCAACTCGCTTCCTCATGTGTCAGAGTTCCCCGCGGACGGAATTCACAATATTAATGCAAGCAGAAACACGGTCCTGTACTTGAAAAAAATGTCCTGCAATTTAGGACTATTTCTAGGACCAATTCATGACTAGCAGGACAATTTTTTGGGGTGTATTAAGGATACGCTACCCAATTTGTAATGTCTGGGTGAGCG